CATAAATATTCTTATAAGAAGTATTAAGGCTGTCTCTTGATTCTAAAGTGACATCTACTTGGGGTCACGAGTTTCAGCCATGGGTCTTCGCTGTGACAGTGCAGGCCAATTCTTGACCAACAGGAACATGGGGCAGTTTATCCCACAAGTCAGCAGGATCCAGGGTGCAAGGATTACTTCATTTTCGATCCTCTGCTGTTTTGCCACACCAAAGATGATGTGACTCCAATCATAATGCGGCTTGATGGAAAAGTTGTCGTCATTCTAACAGATTGTTACAAGCTCCTGCAACCATTATTATCAGTCCTAATGTCTTCAGAGCGTCTTGCTCCTCTAACTCCTATGCTCTCACCATGTTTCAAGTACATGCTCTGCTTCAATCAGTGCCAAAAAACAGAAGAGAATCCCTCTTTATTAGAGATCAGGAAGTGAAGAAGAATTGATGAGTGATCTTATAGCCATAATAACAGCATGTAGTGACAGTCACATTGCAATCTGGCCTAAGGAGTAAATGCACTCGCATGGTCTGAAGTCTAATGCTATTACTTTAAATATGAATTTGAAAATATTGATTGTATCACATCATTACTGCATTTATCTGGTTGTAGTACATAACGCATGTGAGACCTTTTCAATGGAATTGAATGTAAATTTAATTACAACAAATAAAGCATTGAATCCAGTACATTCTGAATAACAAATGTCTTTTCACTAGGGTGTTGGAGTTCAAAACTAGGGAGTGTATTTTTTAAGGTGGGAGGAGAAAGATTTAAAAGGGACCTGAGGGACAAATTTTTCACACACAGGGTGGTTCGTGTGTGGAATGAGCTGCCAGAGGAAGTGGTAGATGCAAGTACAGATACAACATTTAAAAGATGTTTGGGCAGGTATATGAATAGGAAAGGTTTAGAGGGATATGGGCCAAGCACAGGCAAATGTTTAGTCTGGGAAACATGGTCAGAATGGATGCGTTGACTGAAAAGTGTGTTTCTGTGCTGAATGACTCTATGCTGTGCTTTTAAGTTTTTTTTTTGTGTGTTTTCTTTGTTTCTCCCTGGACAGTTTGTCACTTGAGAGTTGAGAAAACTGGACCTGGCATGGCAGACTTCTTGGTCGTCTGGATACGATGATCATTAAAGTTTTTTTTTGGAAATCTTGCCTAAATGCTTCTGGTGCTTGCTTCATGAGGGATACATTTGTTTGCTGGCCTTCCTGTTGAATCTGGAGGAAATGGCAGAGAGATCACTGATAGAATTCCTCTAGCTTTTTGGTCTACTGATATGCAGTCTAGGTCTCGTTAAAGTGCAGGAGTGTCATGATCACAACTGCTTTGTACACTACGACATCTTTTGACTTGAAGATTTTGGCATATATTCACTGCTATATTTGTAGAAGAGTGAGCAATTGCAGCTGACCTGGCATTGGATCTCCTCGTCAATGGTGGCTATTTGAGAGAGTTGACTGCAAAAGTATGGAAAGTGTTCAAAAGATTCCAGAGTGTCTCCAAAATTTGCAAGAGAGACCCTGCAATTTCCTGTCTCACTTTCCGCAGTAGCCTGGAATGCAGCTCATCTGGGCCAGTCAATTTGTCCAATCACTTGTCCAAGCTGCAAACGCAGCATATATAGAGCTGAGAGACCGGGACTTTTTTCACTGGAGTGTAGGAGGTTGTGGGGGCAATATACATGGGAGGTGGAATACTTGACTGATAAACTGAGAGTTGATAAGAGTTTTATTTTCACAAAATTCAAGGTATAGGCTCTTGTCCTTGACAGTTTCTTATGTGCAAGTCTGGTGCAGATCGTACAATGACATTGCAGTCACCTGCAAGTGATAGATCTGTATATCTATGATGATCATTTTAGTTTGGGCACAGACATGACTGAGGTCTAATAGTTTTCATAGAAACAGAAAATGGGAGCAGGAGTAGGCCATTCAGCCCTTCAAGCCTGTCCTGTCATTCATTACGATGATGGCTGATCACCCAACTCATCAGCCTATTTCTGCTTTTCCCCCATATCCTTTTGATCCCTTTAGCTTGAAGTGCTATATCCAACTCCTTGAAATCATGTAAAGTTTTGGCCTTGACTGCTTTCTGTGATAGAGAATTCCACAAGCTCATCACTCTCTGGGTGAAGAAATTTCTCTTCTCCTCAGTCCTGAATGGTTTAACCCATATCATTAGACTATGACCCCTGGTTTTGGACTCCCCTGTCACCAGGAACATCCTTACTGTGTTTACCCAGTCTAATCCTGTTAGAATTTTATAGGTTTCTGAGATCCAGCAACTATAATCCTAACTGAATCAAACTCTCACTATATGCCAGTGCTGCCATCACAAGAATCAGTCTGTTAAACCTTCACTTAACTCCCTCTATAGCAAGAATGTCCTTGCTCTTTCCACCTAGTGCTGACACCAAACAGGAGTTGTTCTTTTGAGGTGAATTCTGCTGTTGGTAGATTGTAAGTAGTGTGAGATCTGCCTCACCGCCTTGCTCGACCCTGATCTAGATTTTGAAGGTGTCTGTTTCAGATCTTCCACTCTATGCAGTTATAGTTATCATGAAGCAATTGTGTTGAAGTTTCTTGGCCATCTGAATTGTGCACAATCTACAAAGCCTCATGACTTAATGCTTTGGTCCCATTGTTTGAATGCATGAGCGAATATAAGGCCGTGATGGTGTTCTCTGTGTTTTTCTTTTATTCATCTCTCAACAGACGTCATGTTGGAGGTTCCTCTCATGCCCCACACTGTCTCTGGCAGGATTTCCTCTGCCACAAATAATGGCAATTCATAAAAGCCTCTCAGGAATTTCCTTACTATGAACGAGAAATACCTCCATATCTTCCCAGACATGATTGATCTCCTGTTTGGAGAGGGTTACTGTTGTTGCATTGCTGAAGTTGGTGCTTTGGGGCAATGCAGGGAACAAAGTTATTTTTCATTCTAAATCTGCAGGGAGTCTTGATGTCAGCAAAAATCTGCCAGCTTTGAAGGTCTTAGCAAAAATGCCATGTGATGGCCCCAGGCTTTGTTGCTTTTCATCTATTTAATTGGAGCCGTCCTGTGGATTTGAGGTATTTTCTAAGGTATCTTCCGTGCCCGTGGATTCTATACCGAAGTTCTGGTAGATAGCCTGGAGAGTATCGGGCTGCCATGGTTGAGAAGTTGTTGAAAGAGTTCATTCAAGGTTGCATTATTGTACTTGAACAGAAAGCAATTTTGTCCATTTGACCGTTAGCTCTATAGATGACCCTGGTGGCTTCAAAAAAACTTTGCACTTTATTATGGACGGCATACTGTCGGACTGCTGGAGCTTTCTTTTCCACTACATGCCTATTATATTCTAGATTTGTCTTTGGCCATTAGCCATGAGCTGTTGAAGCCGCTTTCATGATTTGTGGCCTTGGGTTGTTCTACCAGGAAGTGAAGGCTGTTTTTGTTCCAGGACGTCTCATTGTTCGATCTGGTGATGCTGATGATCTAAACCCCAAGCACACGTGTCAGATTGGATCTGCGGCAGTTGTTGAGAAAATCAACATGAGGGAAGAACAAATTTGATCTTATAAAAATCGAAAAAACTGTGGATGCTGTAAATCAGAAACAAAAACAGAAATTGCTGGAAAAGCTTAGCAGGTGTGGCAGCATCTGCGGAGAGAAATCAGCTACTGTTTTGGGTCGAGCAACCCTTCCTCAGGGTTTTGATCTTATCCTTGTCAATCTCTTTGTGTCAGGGACAGATGCATTTGCAGTCTTCGTGGTGATCAAGTCTGTCTTCACACTGAAGATCTGTTAATCAATCACATTATGGCATGTCCACTGCACTGAAAGGGAATGTTTCCGAACACTGAAAACTGATCATCCGTGAGATGGTAGGGGTCATCTGCTGCAAGTGCTGGCATCGACCTTGGTTCAATGAGGAGTATAGTAACAGCAGCAGGCATGCCTAAACATGCAATGTCAATTGAATGTCAATTTTTCCTGATGGTTGTGCAGCTTTGGAGCTTTCTGCCTGAGAATGTGGTGAAGACTAGATTTTTGAATGTTTTTAAGGAGGAGGTAGATTGATTCCATTGCTAAAATAAAATCTAATGCTCCTGGAAGTTGAGGGGATTGTGGAATTTGCAAGCCTCATCTTATCGAACGGTGGTGCTAAGAGCCAAATGGCCCAGTTCTGCTCTTATTATTGCATGTAGCCATACAGAGGGTAGAGATTCTGTTGTGAGTAATTCACCACCTAACTCCTCAAAGCTTGTCTTCCGTCTACAAGGCAGAACTTACCATTGTGATAGAATACTGCTCACTTGCCTGAGTGAGTGCAGCCCCAACAACACTCAAGAAGCTTGATTTTGTTCTGACAAATTAACCTATTTGCCTGGAGCGTTATCTTAAACATTTATGCCCTCCAAAACTCTGTGCATAATGGCAGCAGTGTATACCATCCCAACAAGATGCACTACCAAAACTCACCAACGACAGTAACTTTCAACACACAGCCTCTACCATGAGGAACAAGGGCAGAAAGTACATAAGAGCACCTGTATCACAAGTTCCCCTACAAGTTAGACACCATCACCATAGAGTTATAATGGCGTCCTTCGCCTGTTGCCAAGTCAAAATCCTGGAGAGGAGAGAGATATATCCAAAAACACCCCTCTCTGTGACTGAAGTAATTCAAGAAAATGGCTCACTACTATCTCGTCAAGGCAGCTAGGGATGAGTAATAAACACTGGCCTTACCAGTGATTTTTCACATCTCTTCAACAAATTAAAACAAACATTACAGAACTGTATTGTTGCTTCATGTGAAATAGTAGGAATACGATTTGATGATTTAATTTATTGTTTTCATGTGTACCTAAGTACAGTGAAAAGCTTTGTTTGGTGAACAGTGCAGGCAGATCATAGCAAACAAGGACATATAGATCATAAGGTGCTTAGACAGAGCAAGGAATACAATATAACATAATCTTCATGTCAAGCACTTTTTGTTTTGCAGTATCCCCAGAAACCGGAGAATTGGCTTCAGCAAGGAAGATCAGAAGGTTGCTTAGTTTTCAAAGATATTTTCGATCTACTCACTTATTTCGTGGTGTTCCTTCTCTAAATTCTCTCAGCGTTCTGGATGATAACTACAATGGCCAAGCCATGGTGAGTTTCAAATATTAATTGAACATGAGTAAACTGAATCCGGAGGAAGCGTCCTGACCAGAAATGTCAACTTTCCCACTCCTCTGATGCTTGCCTGACCTGCTGTGTTTCTCTACCTCTGCATTCTATCGACTCAAACTTTGAAGTTTTTCTGATGATGGTCTTGATGTGTCCTTTTGATAAAGGATTTAGGACATGAATGTGTGTTTACCATTCTAGAAATACTTTTAACCGTGTAAATTTCTTTAAAAGCATGATCAGACTCTTTGGGTCCCAAGTTGTGAAACCAATGTATTTATTGATATGGTTTTCATTCTTATACCTGTCTACCCTTTCACTTCCTAAACGAGTGGCTCATTTCACAATCTAGCCTGGATGGGGCAAGGAATTACTATGAACTGATGACCACAACTGTGATGCCCAGACACCTTTTTTGCGCAGTTGTTTTGAGACAGTTTATGGGAAAGGTTTTCCTTCAGTCAAACTAAATTGCAGTACTCTAAGAAGGAGAAATTACGTCCTGAATGCAGTTTTGTCATTCACCTCCTGAACAAGATTATGTTTGTCCTCCTAATTTGGGGATTATTAATCAATTCTCTCAATTTCAAACTTCTCAACAGAAGCAAAATGGTACAGATATTGGAAATCTGATATAAAAGCAGAATGTACACCATAGGTCGAGAAGCAAAGTTAACATTTCAAGTTGCTCATCCTTTGGACCTCAAATTTTACTTTTTGTCTCCATTCATAGATGTTGCCTGACATTGAGTATTTCCAGGATTTTTTTGTGAACCTCAGTAGCTGCTGGTTTCAAAATTGGTTTCTATTAATACAGCTGAAGGAATGCGATTACCTCTGTGTGAATAAGAGCAGCTCATTACGGTGGTAAATAGGATAAGAATGCCTACTTTAGACACACATTACTAGGATACCTCTGATCAGCGATGCTAGAAGCACTTAGACTGGACGCTGGTGTTGACTCAGTCATTTGAGAAACTTCTAGAACCTTGTTAAATTGGTGCCTTTGCATGTGAGCCCTGCACAATGGATGCTTTCCACTTTATTCTTATTTATCCTATGGTTATGATTTTTAATTTAGTCTTTAGCAGCTCACCCCCTTCAGCTGAACCTTTTTTTAAAATATATAGTCCTATGTTGTAGGGTATTCATGTGAAACATGATGACCGGATCCTATTAATAAAGTAGCTGTATGTAGTGACCTAATACCTTTCTAAATTTTGGATTCAAAACTATTGAGTTGATACTGCTGTTTACATTTTATGGAACATGCTTGATGCCACTTGTCCAAACACCAAAAGAAATTTTATTTCAGAACCATCAGAGTCAGTTTTCAGAAGCATTTTCAGGACTTGAAACATAGATTGAACTAAAATTGTTTTTCTTCGTGGTATGATTTTTCACACTCATTGAATTCAAGTTTTATTCCACATGCCAGAAGTTGGCTGGCATTTGTATCAATTCACATTTATCTTTTTTTTTGTTCACTGCCTTGGGTTTGTTTGCAAAATGTGCTTTTATGAACTTTAGGGAAAGGCTCATACACAAAGATAGCTTCACTGATATCATGAAGTCATTAATGTCTAAATGGCTTAAAGGTAAGATTTATATGCCTTAAATAGTAATTTTCTTTCCTTTAGTTATGCCTTGCTGATACCAGCCTCCCCTCAACCAAATCCTCGATTTGACTCCTCCATCTGAAGATCAGGTTCTCTGGTACAGAAGCAAAATACTGTGGATGCCACAAATCTTTTGCTGCAAATGTTGCCAGACCTGTTACATATTTCAAATATTTTTGTTGTTCTCTTGGTGATATACGGAGGATCATGTAGATTTGAAGAACAAACAACTTTTGTGATTAAGAAAAAAAAAAAATTTTTTTAATACTCGAATGCTCTTTTAAATAAGTTTTAGCTTGAAGAGGATTTTTTTTCCAAAACATGATTGGTTTTCTTTGTGCTTTCAGTGTATGCTAGAAAAGGATGGAAATTGGAATTTTGACATCTTTCTTTTTGACAGATTAACAAATGGTAAGTTGGATCAAATGTTAAAATTAGTACTTTTTCTTTTTTTAGTAAAATTGTGTATTCCACCCACCCCACACATGCATCCCCCCTCCAAAAGGTCTGACAGATTAAGATTTATTAACAATTAGTAGAAAGGCTAACATACAATAGCCTGATTCTGTTTTAAGTATGGATCTTCTGAGCAATATAGCTGACGTTTTCCTCACTCAACTTTTTTCCTAAAATCCAGGTTGATAAAAAGGATAAGAGAGAAGTTGTATGTGACTTTATGAAAAGTATTTCTGTAGTATTGCAGTGCCTAGAAACACAAGCTACTGTGATCTCCCTTCAAAACATCAGTAGAGCAGACACACAATTTTAGTCATTTTGTTTGAATCATAGTCAAATGAAACAAATTTCCAAGCCAAGGCTATTTCATTACATATATCTTCGTGTATTTCTAAAATTTGAGACAAAACATTCATCCCAAGTCCTTATAGTTCCAACTGTCCCTTCACCCACATTGTCATTATTATGCGAATGGAACTCCAGTTCCCACAGCCATCACATGGATTTCCAGTTGCACCCAGGGTAAGAGGCTACTTTTCTATTGGCATTCCTCTAGTCCTGAACTGTCCGTTAGTATTGTTTGAAGTTAGGGTGACAGAATTCTTCCCTTTCGTGTAGGGAATTATAACTTCTTTGCATTGGCCTTTGCTCCCCAGAGAGATGTAGAGGGCACAAAAGAAATAGCAGTGAGTATAGGCCATTTGACCATTATCTGTCTATTCCTTCTCAACCATAAAAAAAAAGTCTGCTGTGTTTTTCAAAAAGCTCACTGCTGATCGAACTTGACCTCACTTCCTGCCTGTACCCCATGACCTGGGACTTCTTTGTAAATTAAGTGGCCATCTATTCATCCTTGAATATACTCAATGTTTCGAACTCTAATTCTCGTTAAGGAAAAGAATTCCTGACATAAACAGCCCTCTCAGTGAGAAAATTCCTTCCCATTCCATCTTAATTAGGAGACCGCTTGCTTTGAAATTGTTCTCTAGTTCTAGGTTTCCCCACAACGGGAGTCATCGTCTTAGCATCTATCTCAGAATTTTATACCTTTTTAATAAGATTACTTCATATTTTGCTAAGTTTCACTGAATATAGCTGAACCTGCTTGACCATTCCTCAAAAGACACTTCCTTTATCCCAATAATTTTTGCCCAGTGAACCTTCACAGAATTGTTTCCAATGCAACTGTGTCCGTCTTTGAGAGCAAACGCGCACAGAGCTCTTGCTGTTGTCTGAGCAATATGTTGTACATTGGAGCAAGACTTGCTTACTTTTATACTCCATCTCTCTTGAATAAGGACCCATATAGTCAAGACCCAACTTCCACTGGCCTCTGTATTGCAGCACTCTGCATTTTCTTTACATTTAAATGGCTGTCCTTAGGTTTAAGGTGCTTTTTACTGTACATAGACAGCTCCCACTTCTTACAGACTTCTGCTTGCTTCTCCCAAACATTCACATCCCTAATCTTTTCAGCTAACTGAGAGCCAGTCACATTGTTGTTAGTAGGCAGAAGGCATTTGTCATTAACTGGTCACTAGTCCACAGACAACCAATCAGCTACTTGTAGCTAGCCCGAGCTCCATTCATATACATTCCATGGCTCTACCCATCTGCAATCTAGGCTTCTAATACTGCCTGATCTGGAAGCTGTGTAAACAGTGCTTGCAGTGAGTGTCAAGTTATTTTCTTTCAAAAAGTGCAGTAATCCTTCAACAATCCTTGGGATTTTAAAACCGTTTTTTTCCCATGTTCACAACAAAAAAAAAAAAAAAGATGCAGTCAACAGCTTTGGCGTAATATTAATAAAACAGCTGGACTCCAGTGGTGTGAAGTAAGAGTTACTGCTTTCGATTTAATGATGGTGCATCAAGGACCTTAGCAAAACTGGAGTCAAACCTTTGACTCTCGATATTCATTGGAATTACCATCATTGAATCCCCCATTACTAATATCGATGGGGTTACCATTGACCAGAAACTAAACTGGACCAGACACAAGCATACTGTGGCTACAAGAGGAGGTCAGAGGCTAGGTATGTTACAGCAAGTAACTCATCTCCTGACTGCCCACAGCCTATCCACCATCTACGAGCACAAGGCAGGTTTCTTTACTAACCTGGATGGATGCAACGCCACTAGCAGTCAGGAAGCTTGGTATTAATCCACTTGATTGGCACCACATCCACAAGCATGCACTCCTCCTCCAGTATTGCTCAATTGCAGCAGTGTATCTGATCGACAAGATGTACTGCTGAAATTCACCAATGCTCCTTAAATGTCATCTTCCAAACCCACAGCCACAATCAGCTAAAGGAATAGAGCAGCAGAAAAATGAGAATACCACTAACTGCAAGTTTCCATTCAAGTCACTCACCATCTGGGCACCAGCCAATATTGCTGGGTCACAATCCTGGAACTCCCTTGCTCGTGTATCTGTGGAATTCTTTACTGCAGAGGGCTGTTGTGAAGTATATTCAAGGCTGAGATGGACAGATGTTTAATTTGAATCATTAAGGGAATCAGGGGTTTATAGAGAAGTTGAGGAATACCAGATCAGCTGCGATCTCCTTGGATTACAGAACAGACTCGACGGGCTGAATGGCCTTCATCTGCTGCTGTGTCTTAAGAGTTCATTGGTTTGACATTTAAGGATGGAAGGAATTTGGGTGTATTGTTTTTAATAAAAATGCATTAGTTTCCTATATCTGAACTACCTTCATCTTTTTTATGCTATAAAATAGTATAATGCTAAAGTTACTCTGTTTTGGTACAAGCTTCCAGGAAACTTGAGTCTGTTGAAGCAACTGGGCTCTGGGCTTTCTTTCACATCAATTCCTGTGTTTTATACTTTATGGAAAGCCGTCATATGTTAAATGTGTAATATTTGTCACATTTGGCGTATAATATGATTCTTGAACATTAATAATGAGATTTTGTCAAGCTTGATCATAAAAATGCTGTTGTAGTTAAAAGTGAAATATTCGACAAAGAAATTAATGTAATGGCACTTGACCACCTTCCTGTATTTATCCCTTTTCTAGGAAATAGTCTGGTTACTTTGACCTTCCATTTGTTTAAATACCATGGACTTATTGAACATTTCCATTTGGATTCGGTTAAACTGCGTCGATTTTTGGGTAGGCAACTTTATACCTTTACTAGTTTTCATTATCTGTTGGCTCCAATTTTGGATATAATTAAACAAAGACAGTAGATGCTGAAAATCTGAAATGAAAACAGAAATTGCTAGAGAAACTCAGAGGTCTTTGCTGTGGAGATCAAGCAGAGTTAAAGTTTCAAGTCCAGTGACCCTTCTTCAGAACTCAATGTTAAATGTTTCTTTTTCCACAGATGCTACCTGACTTGCTGTATTTCTCCACCAATTTCTGTTGTTGCTGACCACACGATTGAGGCAATAAAGTGATGCACTCTCTTGACCATGAATGCTGCCCACAAAGATCCGGCAATCTCTGTGGCTTGAATTTTGCCTTTCCCAATATTGACTTGTATCTGGTGCTAAGTAAAAGGTGTCCTGCAACTGTAATGTCATCAAGTAAGATAAGCACCCAATCCCATTGAGACAGCCTCATGGGCAACACACCCGGAAGTTAAAAGCATTTATTCTTCCTTCACCTTTTTAATGTAATTTTATAGAGAGTGAAATAAAATTTGGGACCTATATATGGGATGAAAGTAGAAGCTCAAATGGAATAAACATCTTAAAGCAATTTTACAAATATGGATATTTTTAATATCCATAATGGGAGAAATCTCACACTTAAGTATAAAATTAGTTTTTCAGGGTTATTGAGGATATGCAAAAGTAACTATGAACTTAATACATTGTTAGAAGCCTCATTTCATAAGGTGCAACGTTTTAAAATTTTGTTATCCAGTGACTGTAATAGTGCAAGGGTAAGTTCTTATCAGTTCCATCAATTTCTAATCAATTGAAGATTTCAGTAAGTTTAACAATGCAGCCTAAGGATAAGCATAGCGTCACCGACTGGTTCCTGGATTTTGTTGTTTAATGTGCATGTACAGCCAGGTGCAAAAGAAGCTGTCAGTTTATTATAACAATGGTGATTGTTAACAGTTTGCTGTCATTACTACCACAGCATCCTTACGGATGTTTGTCCTGATAACATTGTTACACACCAATGTATTGCATTAATGGAAGTTGATGCTTAATATTTTTACTTGTTGAACTGTGTAACCAATTGTCACAATCAAATCTGAAGATTGAGTAAATTCTTCTCTTCAGAGTGTTGCCTTTTAAAAACAACTCAGTATGTACTTAACCACGCGATAAAACAACAGATGGGCACAATGGATAGATCACCTTGAGTTATTCAGAATTAAAGGAGTTTGTTTTTTGAAACTTGCACAACAAGGTATATAACTTCTGTTAAAGGTAAAAACTTGTTCTCAATTCCATGTGTGTACGTGTATGTGCGTACAAGCATGCTAGAAAGACGGAGAGTGTACGGGGAAATGGAATTGAGGAAAAACATCCACAATCTTCAAAGGAACTCAGTACTGAGTTGGCAGTTTTTCTGGAAACAATAATTTTGCACATTTCTGTCTTTTTTTTTTTAAAAAGATCTTAGTTTGCAGCTGGCTTTCTCTTGTGACGGATCACTTTTTTGAATTGAGCATTGCTTCCAGAGAGAGAGAGTATGCATTTTTGGTGTTACTGGATGTTGCTCTCTAGATCTGGACATCTCTCTCCACTATAGTGGAAAGCATTGCTTATATCATGGCTGCTCTGACCAAGTGGTTTCAATTTGTAAAAATCTGATTGTTGGCCCACAATGGAGACAATCCACTTTTACCAAAAATGTGATAATCCATTGTCACAGAGCTGCCCTGTTATTCTTTGATATAGATAGGGAAGGTTGCACTCCTGCTTGTTGTCGAACAATACCTGTAGTTGAGCAGTCTTGTCCTTTGAGATTTTTGAAGATCCCATTGTGAGCCATAATTCCAGGTTATGAATTTTAATGTCCAGGTAATTATTCCTTGGATAGCTTCCTCTGGGTGTGGTAGTCAGTCCCAGCAATTGGACATTCCTTTGTGTATTCTTGAGAGTTTGGCAAATTCAGGTGAGGTGGCTTTGTTGGCCATTGTAAAGTGTCCCAGCTTACTTATTACTATTTTTCTCTCAAGCCACAAAGTCCAAGACTTTTCCATTAATGATGCGATTTTAAAGATTTTTAATATTTTACATCAATGACCTGTCATAATGGAGATTGGAGAGCGTACACTAGTCTCAAGTTACCAATTCAAAGAATGTTACAGAATAAAGAAAGGTACAAATTTGTTAATAAAGACTTTGAAATCCACACACTTGGGAACAGGATACTGGGAAATGGGTGAGTGTACAAGATTATCGTTGGGTGTGGATAAGGTGAATAGAAAACCACTATTCTCCTTAGTCAGTGACAAGGGTGCATAATTTTAAGGTGCTAGGCAGGAGGTTTGGAGGAGACTTGAGGGGAAAAGTGTCTTCATCCAGAGGGTGGTGGAGGCCTGGAATGCACTGTCTGGGAGGGTGGTCAGGTGCGTAACCTCACATACTTTCACAAGTACTTGTATGAGCACTTGAAATGTCATAACACTCAAGGCTATGGGTCAGATGCTGGAAAGGTGGAACTAGTGTAGCTTTGGCAATACTGACTTGATAGGCTGAAGGGTCTCTTCTGTACTGTATGATTCTAAGAATTTATCAGTGTGTAAAAATTGACTTTTTTAAGTTAAATTCTGGATTAAATTTGCTAACATACATTAGATATCTTTTAATATTCACATTTTCCATAATAATTGTAAATGATGAGATTTTTGAAAAAAGTTAATCTTTTGTTTTCTGTGCAGTAATGGTCCAGGAGGATTACCACCGTAACAACCCTTATCACAATGCGGTACATGCTGCTGATGTAACTCAAGCCATGCATTGTTTCCTAAAGGAAACCAAGGTAAAAATTAAAAACACACTTCAAAGAATTTATATATTTTATTTTGATACCCAATTCCATATTAAAAAATAATTTCTAAGCACCTTTTCTGAAAATTAATTTCCAACTTTATAAATTAGCCAAATTGATGTGCGATATTTGTACACTTGTCTCCTTTGCCTACAATAAAGGCAATGCCCGTTGCTTGGGAATAACTAAGTACCTTTTAAAAGAATGGGACAAACAAAATATAACTTTACATTGAAAGGCCTAACAATGAGTTTGGCACGACATGTATATAACATATGTCCCCGAGGTAAAATCATATGAAAGTTTCTGACTCCTTAAGACAGGAATTAACTTGATAAAGCTTATTACTAAACCATCTCTTCACTAAACCATCTCTTTCTGTTGGGTAATGTCCACAATTTTTTTTTTGTCCTTTCAAGCAGCATGTTGCACAATGCCTTCAGTGCTGTGCTGTGCTATGTGACTTGCTGTTCTGTTTTTGTCCCTTTTTTTGCTACAATTGATCTTGAGACTCTCTTTGAATTTATTATGATGTGCTGATTTTAAAACTTCATGGAGAAACCTGGATTAAAGTCAGGGATCTGGAGAAAACATTCTTTCTTAAATCTCATATAAGAGAGGAGGCATGCAGGAGAACAGTTGACAGAAATGATACTGTTGCTAGGCCCATTCTTTCAAATTAATGGCTCTGTTAAGAGGCAATCCAAAAGGAGATCCTATGCGCATCCAAAATGTCTGCCCATTATTAACTTAGAACACTGCTAAAGATCTCTTTTATCCAATTACAAGCAATAGTTTATTTTCCTTTGTTATAGGAATAGCTGAAATTGCTGCTTCCAACAATGAGTGATCCCCAATTTTAATCTATCTATTAATAGTTTGCACCTACAGTAACAGATTTCATCAGTGTGTGTGAAGCAATGAAAGCTGAGATGAACTTATTGATGTGGAGGTGCCACTGTTGGTCTGGGGTGGGCAAACTCAGAAATCACACAACACCAGGTTATTGTCCAGCAGATTTATTTGAAAACACAGGCTTTCAGAGCCTCAGTAGTTCTTCAGGTGTTAGTGAGAGGTAGTATCAGACATGGAATTGTAAGTAAAAGATCAAAGGTTCACACCATCAGTGACCATCTCTGAAAAGATAAAATGTAACCACCTTTATTATTCTCATTACCTTATTCCCCACTGTCAACATCATTGGGGTTACCATGACTGGAAACCTGATTGGAGGAGCTGTAAAAATACTGTGGCTATAAGAATACATCAGAGGTTGGGTATTTTGCAGTAACTCGTATCCTGATCTCCCAAAGCTTTTACACCATCTACAAGGCACAGGTCAGGGGTGTGATAGAACAGTCTCTGTTTGCTTAGATGTGTGCTGCTTTAATAATACAAGAAGCACAACACCGTATAGGGGAAAAGAAACCTGCTTAATTGATACCCTGTTTAACACTTGAAACATTCCCTCTAGTGGCTGAAGCTTGTTTGATAAACAAGATGCACTATGGTACCTTTCCAAAGCTTCCTCCACATCATCTCCTAAACCTGTGACCTCTACTGCCTGGAAGAACAAAGACATCAAGGACATGGGGACAACATCAACTGCAGGTTCCCCTCCAAGGCGCACACCATCTGGACTGTCCATTTATCATTGCTGGGTCAAAATCCTGGAACTCCCTACCTAATGGTATTATCAGAGTGCTTAACTCACACGGGCAGCTGCAGTGCAACACCACCTTTTCAAGGCAGTTAGGAAGCCATCCACACATATGAATGCTTTTTTTTGAGAATGGTTATAATTTTACACTGATTTAAATACTCTATTTTCCCTTTTTTAAACATAATGTTGAAGAAATACCAGGATTAAGAGCTAAAAGATTTTCAGAAAGTTTAAAAATCACCAGTGTTTATATTGAGGTAATGAGACTCCACAGAAACTAAGCTCTTAGGGTCACTAGAGTCGTACATCGCTGAAACAAGTCAACCAGGTTTCCTAAAGTGAACTAGCTCCATTTGCCTGTGTTTGGCCCATATCCCGCTAAACCTTTCCTGCCATCTACTTGTCCAAATGCCTTTTAAATGTTGTAATTGTACCAGCCCCTACCATTTCCTCTGGCAGTTCGTTCCATATGTGCACCACCCTCTACGTGAAAAGTGTTGCGCTTCAGGTCCTTTTTAAATCTTTCCCCTCTCACCTTAAAGCTATACTGTCTAGTTTTGAACTCCCCCACCCTAGGGAAAAGACCTTGACTTTTTCACCTTATTCATGCCCCTTATGATTTTATAAACTTCTATGAGGTCACCCCTCAGCCTCATACGCTCCAGGGGAAAATGTCCCAGCCAATCCAGCTTTTCCCTTTGGCTCAAACCTTCCTATAGGGCGGTAATTAAGACATATCAAGCTGTCAAAATTTCACCTACACCCGAATGTGATTTTTTATGATCTATCTGGCCAGAAAGTATAGTGACTTTGCACTCTTCACACATCTTAATTGAAAATCTGTGGTCTGGCACTGGTTTAGCAGAATTTGTGGAGGTGTCAAGTAAATCTGACTGAAAAGCTCTGATTCTGCCAGACATTAGCGGTCTGATTTACTGAATAAAAATACTGAGCACTGATGTTCTCTATTTGCGAGTTACAGTCTGGTGTTGTAAGAAGCACTGGGTTACACTTCTTCATATTTATCCAAAGAAAAACAAACTCCGAATGCAGTTTAGTCTTGTTTCAGTCATTTTTGTTGAAATGTGTGATACCCTCCTTTTTCCTTGAAGCTTGCCAACTCTTTTTCTCCGTGGGATGTTCTATTGGGTTTGTTGGCAGCTACCACACATGACATGGATCACCCTGGTGTTAACCAGCCTTTCCTCATTAAAACCAATCACTACCTAGCAAGTTTATATAAGGTAAGTGAATCACATTTGAAATGCATTAAGGAATTCATTGATTTAGAGAAAGAAAGTTTACAAATTGCATTAATTCTGCTGAGTTTAAATTTATGTTTGTCCCTTTTTTTTGTTTTATAGCTACTAAATTAAATTCTTTGTCTATATTATTTTAAGAGCTGAAATTGCTTTTAATTCTTTGAGTTTTAAATGCAATCACATACTCTATAGAGATGTTTGTGGCTTTTATTCCTTTCTTTTCAAGAAGTTACATTTTATTCTGTTAGCTGACACACTCTAAAGAAGTTTGAATTAAGCAGTGCCTTATCACATGTCAGGGCCTTGTAGCATGTTGCATTTTTAAAATTTTGTTCCTGGAATGAGGGCATTACTGTCTATTCATTGGCCTTCCCTAACTATCCTGGAGAAAGTGACGGTAAACTGCCTTTCTGAGCTACTACAGTCCCTTGGATGTAGGGACACCACAGTGCTGTTAAGAAGGGATTCCCAGGAGTTTTACCCAGCACTAGTGGAGGATCGGGGATACAGTTTCAAGTCAGGATGGTGTGTGGCTTGGAGGTGGTGGTGGTCCCACGTATCTGTTGCCCTTACCCTTCTAATATGGTGGAGGTTGTTGATTTGGAATGTGCTGTCTAAGGAGAGGTGGCGAGTTTCTGCACTCCCTTTACTGCTACCACTGTGTCTCTTGGTTAAGGCAGTGAATTTTGAAGATGGTGAATGGGGTGCTAATTAAGTGGGCTATTTTGTCCTGGAGCGTGTCATTGGACCTGCATTCATCCAGGAAAGTGGAGAGTATTCTGCTTGCAATTTGTAAGTGGTGGACAGGCATTCGGGTGACGCCAGATGAGTTACTGTCATAGAGTTCTGAGCTTCTGACCTGCTCTTGTAGTTACAGTGGTAAAATGGCTGGTCTATTTCAGCTTCTGGTCAATGGTAACTCCTAGCATGTTGATGATGGGTGAGTCAACAATGGCACTGCCATTGAATGTGAGGGGTGATGGTTAGGTTCTCTCCTTCGAGATGGTCTTGCCCGGCTATTGTGTGGTGCGAATGTCACTTGACACTAATCAACCTAAGCCTAGCTATTGTCCAGGCCTTACTGGATTTTGCCATGGACTTTCAGCAGTCACAAATACTGTCCATCCATCTGTGAAACCCATACTTCTCACTTTACGACGGAGGCGTCGTGGGAATTAAATAAGATCTTATAAAAAGAGATTGCAACAGGAGTAAGGTGACATCTGACAAGTTAATACTGTAAGGCATGAACTTTGAACACCATAAAGATTTACATTAGAAATTACCTGGAGAGGAACCTTGTACACCCTAAGGCCTGTATCAGCCTTGAGAACAAACTAGAGATTATAAACAGATTCCCATTGACAAGATAACCAAAAGACTTGGGATTAAAGATTTCTGTTGGTGTACATTTCATTCTTTTACAACAATGTACGCATATAAAGATTGATTTTCTGTATTGGACAGACAGGGTTGGGTCAGAGTAACAGACAGAATTCTACTGAGCCAGTCTATGATTGAGATTGTTTGAGTAACACAAAGTTAACTTGCAAACCTGAGTCGTCTTGTGATCTATGTAAGGAGAATTAATTGCAGCAGAGCGAAAGTCATTGAAGCAACTGAAGGTCATTGGCCCTAGGACACTACCCCGAGGAACTCCTGCAGTGATGTCCTGGAGCTGAGATGTTTGATCTCCCAGCAACTACAACCATCCTTGCCAGGTGTGACTTAGAAGAGTAGAGAGCTTTTTCCCCCAAATCCTCATTGACTCCAGTTTTACTAGGGTTCCTCAATGCCAAACTCTGTTAGATGCTGCCATTATTTTGCTGATGCTGGAGAACAGATTGATATGGCAGTAGTTTGCCAATTTGATTTTGTCCTGTTCTTTACCTGGCCAATTTCCAAATTGTAGATGCTGGTATTCATGGCTGCACAAGAACAGCTTGGTTAGGGGCACAATTAGTTCTGGAGCACACATCTTTAACACATTCACTACAATGTTGTCAGAGTTCATTTGTCTTTGCATTACCCAGTGTTTTCAGCCATTTCTTAATGTCAAATGGAATGAATTGAGTTGGTTAAAGACTAACCTGTGATGTTGGGGACCTCAGGAGGAGCTGAGATGGATCATCCATTTGGCACTTCTGGCTGAAGGTGGATACATCTACATTAACCTTATTTTTTTTTGCACTTGAGCTGGGCTCCTCCATAATTGAGAATGGGGAAGTTTGTAGAGCAGCTTACTCCTATTAGTTCAATTGTCTGTTCACAACTGAATTTGGCAGGTTTGCCGAACTTGGACCTGATTGGTTGTGGGACCCTTAGCCTTGTCTAATGCATGTTGCTTCTGCTATACCAGGTTGATATCTCCTCCTTAGCTATGCCTGGTGATGATCCTAGCATGCCCTCCTGCACTCTTCACTGAACTTGGGTAGATCTCCTTGCTTTGATGGTAATGGTAGATTTGGCAATATATTGGGTGACAGGGTTACAAATTGTAGTTGAATACAATGCTGCTGCTGCTGATATCCCATGTGCCTTTTGCCCCATTTTGAATTACTATATCTGTTTGAAGCCTGAAACATTTAGCATGATAGTACCACATGACAGGATGAAGGGTATCCATTTGTTGCGAAGGTGTGGTTTAGTGTAGTGGTCATTCCAATCAATGCTGTCATATGTGGACTCATCTGCGCCTACTAGATTAGTTTAGCTGCAGTGCGCTTTAGGATTCTACCAACTTGGTCAGTGCTAGTGCGATTGAGCCAGTCTTGGTTTTGGACATTCAGGTCCCCATCTGGGGTACATCCTGTGTACTTGTCACCCAGGTTTTACCTAATACTGAGACGCTAGGCCATTTCCCTCCCAATTGTATACCACTGAACTGAGCTGCTATGTTTGGTGGGAGTTGTCCTGCCTCTGAGTATGTTTAAATCAGACTTGACCAATCTGTGCAACAGTTCTCCCAATTTTGACACAAGCTTCCAGATGTTAGTGAGGACAACTTTGCAGGGTCAACAAGCCGGATTTGCTGTTGTCCTTTGCGGTGTCTAAATCCATCCGGTTTCATTCCTTTCTTTAGACGTCGTAGCGGTTATGATTCAATTGAGTGGCTTGCTAGGCCATCTCAGAGGGCATTTAAAGGTCAACCACATTGATGTGGGTCTGGAGTCACATGGAGGCCATTTCCAGGTAAGGACAGCAGATTTCCTTTGCTAAAGGAAAATAGTGAACCTGATTGGTGACATGGTCACTATCAGCCTAACTTTTAATTCCACATTTTTATTTATTTCAAATCTCACCATCTTCCACAGTGGGATTCAAACCCGTGTCCCCATAAGGTTACCTTGGAGTTCTGGATTACTACTCCAGTGACATTGCCACTATGCCACCATCTCTCGCACAAAGTAGATCATCTTAAAATGCAATGTGTCGTGCCCAGAAAAGCTATTGATAACTTTAAACATCGACTGTATTGAGTATGGAATTTTATGAAACTGCCTTTACTTTAAAAATGGCCGTTACAAAACCTGCTAAGGTGGTTGCCAAGGATAAGAACACTTTTGTAATCTCTGCACAGACTACCTCCTGTCACTATTAAGTTCCTGATTGATTGGTCGTGTGTGCCAAGTCCTCTTGAATGGACATTCCAAGGTGATCCAAATCATTGCCTTGCAGGGCCACTGTGTCTGAAAGCCAGTGAACCATAATTCAGTGTGAAATACCACTATCCGTCTTCCATTGTTTAAAAATGGCTTTGAATGCCAAGTTATGGATGGACGATAGCTGTATTGATCACGTGACCAAAATGGCTACAGATTATGAATTTTATTAGCCAAGAACTGGCAGAAACCAATGAGTCTGGAAACCATGAGGGTAAGTCCTCCAGCCTAAAGAACAGAAATCTGCCAAGTGACCAGTCATTCAAGCAGTGAGAGAGGAATAATACTTTTCATCTGAAAAAAAAGATGCCTCCACAGAAACTCATCCATAATTTCATGTGGAAATCCAACTTGTATCATTGTGCAAACAACCATTAGAGAGAACCCATCCAGCCTCTGCACTTTGAATATCTTAAGGGTCTGAAATTTGAACACTATTTCCTACTTGTAATTTTGCTAATAACCTGAACTCATGCTTTGTCTCTAGAATCCATCTTTATTTTTGTGATTTTTGTTTTACTTTGTATATGATGCTTGGTCTGACCTTGAACATCACCAAGATGAGGGTCCTCCACCAACCTTTGCCAGGCCACTCGAGCATCTCCCTACCATCGTAGACGAGTGGCTCCATATGTATGCGCAGCAAATCCTGTATCTTAGTAGCCAGCCCTCCCAAGAGAGGGGATCGATGAAGGTTTAGCACTAAGTTGACTGTGCATGTACTGCTGTCTTCAAGTGTGTACTTGACATCAGGAGCCACTGAAAGTTAACAAAGGTCTTAGTCTATAGGCTGTTGTGTTCACCACTCTCCCCTACTGCAGGAAAACCCAGACCATCAACCACTGTCACATTGAGATCCTTGAGAACTCCTTTCAATGGAGCCTACATTAAAACCGGGGTATCAGGTCAGCAGAGGACTACTGGATTAACATGAAAGTTCTTCATGAAACTGTATCTACCAATATTGAAGCCCTGCTCCTGGGGAACTGCTTCCAAAGGACAGTCCGTTGTGCCGCCTGAAATTCAACTTCCTTGGCAACTTCGCCTCTCCCAGCTTTCCGTTGGCCAACGCTCAAGGGGTGGCCAAAGGTGAAAGTATGAAGAAATACATAAGGTTGCCCTAAAGCACTGAGGTGTTGACACCATTGACTAGGAGGAGAAAGCTGCTGACTTGCTCAGGATCAGACCTTCCAGTGCATTAAGGTGCAAATCATTTCAAGACTGAGTGACTCTGTCCGCAAGGTGAAACAATAGTGGTAGAGG